AGGAGGGAATCAGGGCTCTGTTTTAAAAAAAATTTGTATCAAACATTGTAAAGAGTGAAAAATGCTTTTCATTATCTGGGTACATAATGCAATCTTACCAGTGGTATATTCTGAAAGGACAAAAGCCCCTTTGTCCCCTACAATGAAGCCACAATATCGAGGAGAGTGGGTCACAAGGCTGGAATATGTGTGACAAGCTCTCTACAGCCATTTCGAATGAGTCATTCCCAAGAGGAGTTTGGGGTAGAATTAGATGTGTGACTATGGAATCCTTTGGGGGCCCTGTTGTGACTCAATTCCTGAATAATAAGAGCTTTGACTCAGGCTATCCTTTGGACAGAACTAAGTTTTCCCTTCGTATTATTTCCTTACTGCTCATTGTCTGAGGTTCTTTCTCAAAATGCAATTCCATTTCTTTGTTTAGTTACAAAGGATAACTTTTCACACCTATTTCATGTTTTAGGGTTTATAAAACATTTTCTCTAGTGACTAGCCTGTGAGGTTGGTGGTACAAGAACTATTGTTCCCATTTCACATATGATGAAACTGAGTTCCACAGAGGTAAAGTGATTTGCACAAGGTCATGCAGCTAGACTGAGACAAAGGTAGTAGCAGAACCCAAGCCTCAAGGTCATCTGTACCAGTTTGCCTTCCTATCTCAAAGGCACCATGACAAAGCTGGGGGGAATTTTATGGATCAAATACATCATAGCAGAAGTGGTGCCTTAAACATAATTTAGCAGAGTAGGCATCTTTCACTCCCTTTCCATCAAATTCACTGTTCCATACTGCTCTTTCCAATGTTTTCCCTTAGGTTCTCACATTCATCTTTCCCAGTGACCTTTCATCTCTTGCTTTTAATTCCTTCCTGTATTTTCCATTTTTGGTCCTCTTAAAAAAAGTTTAAAAATAAAGTGTACTAAAAAAATGAATGAGTCAGGAGTCTAAAGGCCTGGGATTAGGATAGGCCCTATCACTTACTGACTTCTCACCTTAACTAAGGTAGATTTCCCTTACCTTACATTTTCTAGTCTGTCAAATGGAGATAATAATACATACACACATCATGCAGCTGTTGTGGGAACATAATTTTATCTAGATCGGTGATTTCACGATATAGGGAGCTCTCATTTGAAGAAATTCCTTCTGCCAATGGAAACTGGAATTTCTTCCACCTATAATCAGAGATTTGTGCCTAGGGGAATGAAGAGGTTATAATTGACATGGAGGATGAGTAAGAGACAGTTCATAAACTCAAGTCATCCTGACTTGGAGGTTGGCCTGCTATCTATTGTCCCACATACTCTATGTAAAATGCTTTATGAACGTAAAGTACTATATATACATATATAATGGAAGACTGGCCAATGAGAGCCCAGTCTTGGAAGTATGGACAGGGAACCTGCCTGGCTGTTTTGACTGGCTTGCTTCCAGGGCGTGAATATTGGAAAGCCCTACTCTTTGCTGGAGACCATGTGCAGATACTCTGTGATTGTTTCTGTCCTGATTTACTGTGTCCCGTGAGCAGAACAAGACATGTATGCAAAGACTCCCACTTGGTCTCTTTCCCAAGAAGCTGCATTTAAGAGAGAAAGATAACCTGCCATGAGACATTGAATGAGAGAAGAGCTAAGAATACCACTGCTAGGTCTGCATCCCAAAGAGATAAAAAACAAAAAGGAAAATATGTACAAAAATATTTATAGTGGCTGTCTTATTGGTGGCAAAGAATTGGAAATCAAGGGGATGCCTGTCCATTGGGGAATGGCTGAACAACTTGTAGTATACGATTGTGATGGAATGCTATTGTGCTATAAGGAATGATGGGCAGGATGCTCTCAGAAAAACCTGGAAAGACTTACAAGATCTGATAAAAAGTGAAATGAGAAGAACTAGGAGAACATAGTATACATTAACAGCAATATTATATGATGATCACCTGTGAATGACTTAGCTGTTCTCAGCAACACAGTGATCCACGACAATTCCAAAGGACTCATGACGAAAAATTTTATCTATCTCCAGAGAAAGATTTGATGGAGTGTTAATGCAGATTGAAGCATACTTTTAAAAACTTTCTTTATTTTTGTTCTTTTCTTTTGGCTGTGTTTTCTTTCACAACATGACTAATATAAGAATGTGTTTTGCATGACTGCATATGTACAACCTACATCAAATTGCTTGCCTTCTCATTGAGGAGGGAGAGGAGGGAGAGAATTTGGAACTCAATTTAAAAAAATTAATATTAAAAATTGCTTTTACAGGTAATTGGGGAAAAATAAAATAGCAAATCAATTTTAAAATTAGGGCAAAAATAAGAACATGTGACACAAACACCCACCCCCCCCCACGAACACACACACAGAGCAGCTAGGTCTCTCATTGATCATGAAGAAGCTATAAGTTTTCAGGTGGGGGGAGAGGTAATAGCAGTGGTAGTAGCAGCCCACTGCTGCCAGCTGCTCAACTTTTCACATGGACTGACACATAACCTTTCCTCTTTACTGGAATATTATAGATAGAATGACTAGACCATGGGGGGCGGAGCCAAGATGGCGGAGTGAAAGCAGTGACTTGCTTCAGCTCTCCCCCAAACCCCTCCAAATACTCATAAAAAATGACTCTAAACAAATTCTGAAGCAGCAGAACCCACAAAAAGACAGAGTGAAATAAATTTCCAGCCCAAGACAACCTGGATGATTGATCAGAAAGGTGTATCACGCCAGGCTGGGAGCACAGCACAGTGCAGCGTGGGCGCGCAGGCCACAGCAAACCTGGAGCAGGCCTCAGAGGACTGAATCGTGGGCAGCTGTGGAGGTTTCCAGACTCCTCAATCCACCAATGCCAAAGACAGCTTAGAAGGTCAGTGGGAAAAGTCTGTTTCTGTCGGTGCTCAGAGAGGAAGGCATGGTTTCAGCTCCATTCCCCAAGAGTGTGGCAGGGGTGGGGGGGGGTGGGGGGGGCACGGGATGTCAGCTGCTTCCTGAGCTTCCAGCCCACAGACTGAGGGGGAATCCAGTGGCTGATCAGAGAGGGACTGCAGGGATCTCTTTGCCAGTGCTAAGGCAGGAATCTCTTGCTTTGCCCGTGTGTGGATCTGGGTCACAGTTCTGGGCAGTGGTGCTGGGATGAGGAGGAACGCTGGAATGGTGAGCTTGTAGTGGCTGTGGAGAGAAACCCCCTCCTCACAGTTACAGGACAGAAAGGAGTACTTGTAGTCGCAGGCCAGGAAAGGAGTAAACACCTCGCCCCTTATCACACCACCTTGGTAGAGCTGAAAATTTACAGGTCCCTACAAGTATCTCTGAAAACAGCTACACAAACCCCTGAAGCTTGGGACAGTACACTCTCCACATTGGAACCAGACTCTTACCTTAACAAGGAGTTTAAAAACTCAAGTAATTGGCTGGGATCATGAGCAAGCAGCACAGAAAGAGTCAGACTATATTATCTTACTTTGGTGAAAAAGGAGATCAAAATATACAACCAGAAGAAGAAAACAAAATCAAAGCTCCTACATCCAAAGCCTCCAAGAAAAATATCAATCAGTCCCAGGCCTTGGAAGAGCTCAGAAGGGATTTTGAGAAGTAAGTAAGGGAAGTAGAGGAAAAACTGGGAAGAGAAATGAGAGTGATGCAAGAAAATCATGAAAAACAAGTCAACAGCTTGCTAAAGGAGACCCAAGAAAATACTGAAGAAAATAACACCTTAAAAAACAGCCTAACCCAAATGGCATAAAAAAAAAGTGACTAGACCATGACACTGTGAGCTTCCAAAGGTCAGGAGAGCAGCAGGAGTCCAGGAACTACAGTCCATACCACAGAGCGCTGATAGTCAAGCCAAATGAGGTGCCAGTGAGGCCTTGAAGAGTGCCCTGTTAGATCCAGTGGATTGACTCTGAGATATCTCTGTCCAAAGGATTGACACCATCCACTGGCCATGGTCAACTAGGAAATGAACTTGGTGAGGTTAATGCTTTGTAAAAACCACTTTAAGCGACAGCCCCATTCTCTCCAGGGACCAAAGTCATAGTAAAGAATGTGGTCCCGGTTTGGGGAGGATGTGTTTTTACTTCTATTCTTGCAATACTTTTTTTTTAGTAAATTCCTTTTTAAAAAGCTAATTGTAACACTGGAGCTTTTACAAAGGAATATGTATTTCAAAAGGTATAACAACAAATATGTAGTACACACTTGCTACCCCCCCCCAAAGTGGCAGACATAATCCTCCTCCCACCTTATACAACGTCAGACTCTGGAGAGGGGAAGGGCTTTAGATTCATAGCCTAGCTCAGTTCTCATAGAGCACAGTCCCAATTCCAAGAGCAAAAAAAACCCAAAACAACCCCAAACCCTTTTGGCTGGAGTCCCAGGTATCCTGGTTTTCCGGGCTTCCATGCCAGGTTGGCTGCATCATATCATCTGCAATCCTGGCTCCTAGGTCATCATGGCTTAAATTCCAGGGTCTCATCACCTCTGGCATGTGAAAGTGAGGATGAACAACACAAAGCAGAAATATAACTCCCCTAGCCCATTTCTTGGAATTGGGGTAAAAGAGAGGGAGTGAGGAGGATTTCTCTTCCCCTCTTACCAGTTCAGTTCATCAGAGATAAGAACTGCTGAAAAGAAGATAACCAATCAGTTAGATGGTGGAAAGAGAGCAAGCAAATCAGTCTCACCAGTTTTAAAGACACAGGCAGTCAATCAAAAGAGGCTACCCCACCCAGATGGTGGGGAGGGCAGCAGGCTCCATGGTAGGTAAACTGGGCATGTTTAGACCAATCTGGGGTTACAGAATTAATGTTAATTAGCTAAATGATACTAGGGTGCTAATCTCAGGGTCAGTCAATGATATAGGGGAGATATTAACTGCCATTGATGATGGATAGTGAAGTGAGCACACTGCATCATGGACTAACCCCTCAGGGTGTTCCTAGAACTCTGAGGAAGAGGTATAATAGACTTGTTCTGGGAAGCCCCACCCATCATTATGATTGGGAATTGAGATAAGGACTCCCGAAGTCTATAAAGGCTACAAATGTGAGTTATTTTAATTATTCAGCAAACTCTCTTCATTGCCCTTCCCCAATGTCTCTCTTTCTCTCATTTCCTTCTGCTTTTCTGCTTTTCACTTCCCTTAATGGCATCTCCTCATCTTCACCTCCCTCTACTATTCTTTCACCCTCTAGTTTTAGTTTTTTCTAGTGAGCATTTTTCCTTTAAGGTGCTCAGTAGCAGTGGAAGCCCAGGTTTCAGCATGTCAGTAATTTACATTTCATTGCTTTGAGTGGCTACCACGTTCAAGAATTGTTTCTAACATTTATTTTGTATTAATTTTTGACTTCCAAATTCTCTCCCGTCTTTCCCCACCCCTTGAGAAGGCAGACAATGTGAGATCGATTACATATGTGAAGTCATACAAATCATATTTCCATATTAGCCATATTGCAAAAGAAAACACACACACACACACACACATACACACAAACCAAGAAAAATAAAGTGAAAAAAGTATGCTTCCATCTGTACTCAGAGTTCAACAGTTCTCTCTCTAAAGGTGAATAGCATTGTTCATCATGGGTCCTTTGGAAATTGTCTTGGATCGTCTTAATCAGAGTAGTCAAGTCTTTTTCAGCTGATCGTTGTTATAATATTGCTGTAAATATGTACAGTGTTCTCCTGGTTCTGCTCACTTCACTTTGCATCATTTCACATAAGACTTCACAGGTTTTTCAATCCTGCTTATGATTTCTCATAGAATAGTATTCCATCATAATCATATATCACAACTTGTTCAGCCATTCCCCAATTGATGGGTGTCCCCTCAATTTCTAATTCTTTGCCATCACAAAAGAGCTGCTATAAATATTTTTGTACAAATAGGTCTTTTCCCCTTTTCTCTGACCTCTTTGGGATATAGATGTAGTAGTAGTATTACTGGGTCAAAGGATATGCAATTTTTCAGCCTTTTTGGCACTGTTCCAAATTGTTCTCCAGAATAGCTAGTCTAGTTTGCAATTCTACCAACATCAACAGTGCTTCAGCATCTGTCATTTTCCTTTTCTACCATGTTAGCCAATCTGATAAGTGTAAATTGGTACCTCAGAGTTGTTTAATTTGCATTTCTCTAATCAATAGTGATTGAGAGCATTTTTTTCATGTGACTATTGATAGATTTGTTTTCATCTTCTGAAAACTATCTGGTCACATCCTTTGACCATTTATTGATTGGGGTTCTTTTAAGACTCTTAATGGTATCCTGGTCAGATCACTGACCCGGGCAGTCAAGAGGCCTAAATTTGATTCTTCTCATGGTTACCAGCTGGTCATTTTGACCAAGTCACTTCACTTCTCTGGGACTCAGTTTGCTTCTCTATATAATGAGGGGATTGGATTAGATGATCTTTCTACTCTAAAACTCCTATCCTAATCCAAAGCTGTCAACTCTTCCCTTTTTCCAATTCTTTTGTGGTTTTACCATATCTTGGGCTATGGCTAGATACTTCCCCATCCACTCCTAATGGTTCAACTTGGATAGAAGTTATTCTGGTTTGTCATTAACTTTCTATGTGATCACCAGGTATTAGAGCAAACTTATCAATTGTGAAGGTATCCATATCAATCATTGAAAGGGGGAGAGAGAGAGGAATAAGCATTTATATGGGACCTACTATGTGGCAGGCACTGTGCTAATAGCTTTTTACAAATATTGTGATCCTCACAATAATCCTACAAGGTAGGTGCTTTCATCATTGCCATTTTACAGTTGAAGAAACTGAGGTAAACAAAGATTAAATGATTTGCCCAGAGTCACACATCTAGTAAGTGTCTGAGGCTGGATTTGAACCCAGGTCTTCCTGACTCCAGGCCCAGCACTCTATCCAGAGTATTGGATTCTCAATGTCCTAGGTTATATTCTACTGGATTTTGCTTACTTCAAGGACTACGGCTCTCACGACACGTGTACAGGGATCTATGCTCTCTCTTCATAAGGTCTGTTAGGGTAAAGCTACCCAGGAAGACCTGGTACAGTAGGTTGGATGGACACTACCCACTCAACTGCTGGTTAAACTTGTTTGGGGAGAACTAGGATGTCAGTAGGCACTGACCAAAGCTATTTATAGCCCAAGTTTTTCTCCCTTGAAAAACTGGACCTTTGACCTGGACACCTTGTTTGTTTTGATAGGACTGGATGACACTGAAATCATGCCCTGTGTCAGTAGCCAGGGCCTTTCCTTGAGGTAACCTCTAGTTACCTCTGACCCTCAACCCCTTACCCAGTAAGGGATACTGACTTGCCCTTCCTAATTCAGTATCACTCTGCATAGGTTCCCACAGTGCCCTCTAGCAAGGACACCCTTTCTCCAAAGGAAGATTTGGGGGAGCAAGCAAAGGCAAGGTATGGTTAAGAGCTTCTCCCTGAGGCAGGACTAGGGGAATTGATGGCAATGAACTTGATGAAGATGAAGGGGGAGAAAATAAGGTCAAAAGTAAGCGAGAGAACATAGGGGTGAAGGCAACAACATGGAGAGCAGGAGATGCACAGAAGCAGTATGGAGATGCAGAGGGTGAAGGTGGCACCCACAGAGTAAGGAGGAAGTAATGGGTGTCTGTAGCAGAGCATGTTCTATAGAATTCTTTGGTTCCTTAGGGAACTAGTTAGTGGTATATGTGAGGTTCTGGACCCAGATAAGTTTCATTGTCATTTCTTAATTAAGCAGGTTCATCCACCAAATACTGACTGGGCTTCTATCATGAGGGGTAGGCACTCCAGGGGGAAACAAAGAATAATAAGGCACAGTTCCTGTTTATAAAACATTAGGAAGACACCCCCATTTCTCTCAAAGGGACTCAGCCTTGCTCTGGAGGGCCCAACTCATTTTTGTGACTGGGATTTGGCATACAGACCCCCAGCATCTATGAAGCCTACAAATATGTTATTTCAATTATTCAGCAAAACTCTCCTCCACTTGATGTGAGAGACAAGAGTGCTAGAGATGAAAAGCCCGGAGGCAGAACATTGCAATGGATAAAGTGCTAGACACAGAACGAGGAAGACCTGGGTTGAAACCCAGTCCCTGACATTTAAGATCTGTGTGGGCATGACGGAGTGTCTTAACATCTCTGAAGCTCAGTTTTCTCATGTGAAAAACAGGATAGTAACTATGATAGCTTCCTCACAGGGTTATGAGGTTTCAGTGAGAAAATGTATGGAAAGTGCTTTACAGACTTTAATGCACAGTATAAAGATTACCAACTATTGCTGTTGTTGTGTAGCCATTTCTGTCACGTCCAACCCTTCATGATCCCTTTAACTATTACATTATTCACTAATAATATGAGATGAACAAACGCAAATGAGTGGAAGGAGGATTGAGGGGGAAAGTATTTCTCTCAGGCACTTAAACAGTTTTGCAGGACTTTCCCTATTCATATGAAAGGGAAACTGAGCCCCAAAGTGAAAGAAAATCAGAGTAGGTGTCAACAGTACATCATGACCCCCAGGCTGGGACTTTATTAAAAACCTGTGTAGATACAATACGAAAACATTAAATGGAGGAAGGACATGTACATGGCAGCACAGGATTGCTTAGGCCTTGTGGAACAAAAACATTAAAGCTGAATTTTGACAACTGGTCCTACCCCTCCCCACCTCCCACCCCTAGTATAACTTCCCATATATCCAAAAGGTAAATTCCTGAACAGCTCCTTAGTATTGGACTTGAGCAAATCACCTCAAGTGCCAGGTCAGATACAAATAGAACATTTTCCTATTACTGTTCACAGAATATCTTGTTAGTCTCAACAGGGCTTTCTTCACTAGAGTTCACATACAGGCTTCAGAGTGACATGTGTACTAGTTAGGTGTTGAAGTTTGCTTTGGACTCTGTTCTCTGTTCAAAAGAATACTGTTTGATTTGCAGCAATGTTCCACCTTAAGAACTTTCCTAGGATTCATTTCCATTAGAATATTTATATCGAGACTGTTCTAAGCTTAGCCCTGTTACGCATTGTGGGGGATAATAATAACAGTAATAGTAATAGCTCAAATGCAATGCTCTTGGATTCTGAAGAACTTTATTCGCATTATCTCATTTGATTCTGAAGATAATCTTGTTCAACTTCACTTACAGTCAACCGTTGGTACAGAGAGAAAGGAGACTGGTCATGGCAGTAGGAACCTTCCAGTTGAAGAATATTCATTTAGAGGCAACCAGAAGCCTGGGCCAACTGAACAGAAATCACACCTGTGAAACAAGCAAAGGTGATTATTTTAGAGAGTTACTTGTTAAGTTTGACACTTTAGCATGGAATGTTGGCACAGAATGACCTCTGGATCTCCCATTTTTAGCCCCTTCCAACGTTACTCTGATCTTGGTCTTGACCCTCTCTCTCTGTTTCCGCACATCACTTAACACCTCTGGCCCTTTAGCTCCACACTCATATTCCCAATTAGGGATCTTGACTTGATGTAAAAAACAATTCTGCTCCCTACCAGTGCAGGAACAGATTAGGATGATTGTGATAACTTCTTTCTTCTTCTCCTTCTTCTCCTTCTCCTTCTCCTTCTTCTCCTTCTTCTCCTTCTTCTCCTTCTTCTCCTTCTTCTCCTTCTCCTCCTTCTCCTTCTTCTTCTTCTCCTTCTTCTTCTTCTTCTTCTTCTTCTTCTCCTTCTTCTCCTTCTCCTTCTTCTTCTTCTTCTTCTTCTTCTTCTTCTTCTTCTTCTTCTTCTTCTTCTTCTTCTCCTTCTCCTTCTCCTTCTTCTCCTTCTTCTCCTTCTCCTTCTTCTTCTTCTTCTTCTTCTTCTTCTTCTTCTTCTTCTTCTCTTTCTTCATTTTTCTCATTTATACATTATTTTAGCATTTTTTAAAGTCTAGATCTTTTTTCTTCTTGCAAAAGGTGTCTATCTATATTTCTATCCTCTCCCACTTCTACCACCAAATAACACCTTTTAAAATATGGAGATTTTTCCCTTAAACATACAGAAAACTAGAAAAATACCATGAAGGGATGGTGCTGCTTCTACTCTGTTTGTTAACATATATTCAAATGCATTGTTGAGTTTCTTTTCAGATGCACAAATATGTTGCATACATATATTAGAGCTGATATGATTTTTTCCAATTGAAAATCACTTCAGTTTCTTTTTAATGGGCTCTGCTTGGTTATTCTGCCTCCCTCTTCCAACTTATACACATATGTATTATAAACACTTTTATATACTTACACTCTACGGTATTTTAGTACTCTTGGAAGATTGTCTCAAGAAACAATAATCAAATTGTGATGAGACACACAATTTTGTTTCGAATTTGAATGGGATTTCATGTATCAACTCATTAGTTTTAGGCATCCGTAAGACACTCAAGGTTAATGACCACAAATCACTATATCATTATAAAAGGATGAAATGATAACTTCCATTTATAGAATATGTCCCTGAGGGCAGGAATTCATATTATCGCCTATGTATTTCTATCCTGCCCCCAGCACTTAATTTAGTATCTTGTATATAGCAGGCAGTTAATAAATTCTTGCTTAATTTCTAGGCATTTATACTCTCCTGATGAGCTATCTTTCCAGAGAAAAAAACTGGAGTCAAGTAGGGAGGCCTTTGAGCTGTGGCTGCATTAGTCTTGTTAATATGGTGATCTGGAATTAGGCCCATGTAACCCTGAAGAGGAAAAGGATGAACTGGCTGTTTTATGCTTGTCTGGTATATGTGAGCCTTTTGCATGGTTGCGGGGGTGCTGTATATTTGATAAAGTTTGGGGAAAGGTATAACTGGTAGTGTTATATTGTACATTGTTTTATACATAACCGTAATGTATTGTGAGTACTGTTGTAGAATGTGTGGGCAAAGGAGGAGGAAGTCTTTCCAGGTATTGTTGTAGGCACTTATGGTGCCTATATATAATGATAGGGAAGAGAAGGGAGAATACGAAGTATATCTATGCTCATAGCTACTACGTGCTGTCAGAATGCTAAGTTTATGTTGTGTATAATATGTATAATTGATTGGTACTGCTTCATTTATAATGTAATATCTAATTATTTTGCTTTAGAATGTTCTTGATTCTGTATAATGCTTGATGTAGGTGATAAATGAAGAGTTGAATGCAATAAATGGATAAACTCATTTGTGACACTCAACTCTTCTCATACATATATTCAGCTGTGTCTTCCTCTCTAACATTCCAACATTAAATTTAGTCAATAATCCCAGCCTAGCTTTCTCCTGCAGCTCTTGATTGGTGGACCAACCATTAGGATTTCATCTAGCTGACAGACCAATCTTGCCCTAATAAAGCATCAACTATGGTGTGTGTGTGCACACATGCATGTGTGTGCACTTGTGTGCATATATGTGTTTATGACCAAATTGCAATGTTTGAAATGACAAACTGGATATTGACATAGTTTCCAGAAAGATTTAAAAGAAAAGCCTATCTGAATTTAGCTACCCAATGGCCTAGAGAAGTTTGTCAGACAGAAGACATTGGCAATCCAAAGCTGGATATACCTTTTCAAGACACAGGTGAGTGGAAATGCAGAGTAGGTATGCACCAGTCTCACTGACGACCATCTAAGGAATCACTGGCCCAAATAATAGAACGTTCATTTATCAATGCCACCTAAACTTTTCAACACTGAATGAAAGGCCTCTGTGTTCTCTTTTATTTTCCATTCTCACTCTCCCCCCTCCATTTTTATTAATGCCTTTTGTGTTTGGGGAGATTTGTTTATAGAGATTTATAATATACTCCACAGTATATTCTCAATATGCACCTCCATGTTGAATCCTCTTTTGTAATAAATGAAAACAATCAAGCAAGCCCAACCAAAAAAACAACCCACCAAACAAGCAAAAAACAAATCTGATAACGTGTCCTATATTCCTTACCCATAATTCCTACAGGGAAGTGGGTTGTGTTTTGTTCTCTGTGCTCTGAAATGAGGATTGTTCATTGCTACTCATCAGAGTTCAACCGTCTTTTAGTGTTGTTTTGTAGTCAAATAAGTTGTTCTCTCCATTCTGATTTCTTTATTCTGTATCTATTCAGACGAGTCTTTCCTATTTCTCTAAATTCCTCAATTTTCTCATTTATTACATTATAATAATTTTCTATTGCATTCCTATAACCCAATTTACTCAGTCATTCCCTAATTTATTGGCATTTACTTCTTCTTCCCTGCCCCCACCCCCTCACCCCAGTAGTTTTATACTAATGAAAAAATTGTACCTATAAATACTTAGTCACTTATGAGACCTTTTGTTCTGTCATTGACATAATTAGGGTATAGGCCCAGTAGTAAAATTACTGCATCAAATGGTATGAACAATTTAGTGCCTTTTCTTTCATCATACTGAATTGTTTTTCAGAGATGTCAGACCAGTTTACAGCCCTACCAATGGTGTAGATGTATCTGTCTTCCTCTAGTACCACCCCTCTCATCACTGATGGATTGATTATTCTGTTTTTTCATCATGGTCAATTTTATGGTTATTTTAAATATGAGTTGCTTTAATTTGTATTATTCTTATTTTTTGTATTGGTTGTATTTCTGCTTCTGAAAACTTGGTCCTTACCTATTGGGGAATGTTTCTTGGTGTGTATGTGTTATGAATGGATGTAATATTCATGTGTGCATATGGACACATATATGTGTATATGTATGTATGTGCGTATATGGACTGGATCTGTGATTTTGGCATTATATGGTACTCTCTGGTGAATAAACTCCCTCTACCAGTGCAGGTCAGCCTCTTCTCTTTAACTTGTAATCTTAGAGAGTTAGCTAGAGTACCAAAAAGCTAAGTGAATCACCCAGGGTCATATAACCATTGTGGGTCAGAGGCAAGATTTGAACTCAGCTCTTCCTGGCTGGTTCTATCCACTATGCCATGCTGTATACATGGGGTTGTAGCAAAACACTTTAATGCTTCCTTATATAATACACATACACACACACACACACACACACACACACACACACACACACACACACACCCCTATACTTAGATACATAAATATACATATACATACAAGTATATTCCCATATACAAACATATACACCATACTGCTCTCCTATTTCCCCCCCTAATTTTTATTCAATAATGATTTACTCCATAAGTGTTTTGTAATCTGTTAAACAAAAGGTTCTGATAAACCCACAAGTACACAATGTTGACATTGGTGGCATTTTTATCATATTTCTGGGTGGTTCGGTGGGATACCTAACAGTCACGATCCAAAATAAAGCTCTCTAGAGGCTTGAAGAAGAGGCTAATTGGGTGAAATGAAATTTAATGAAGATGGATATAAAGTCTCTAAATGAGATTTGAAAAAAAAACATTAACAACTATATAGGTATAGAATGGTGTAGCTTGATTAAGCAACAGTATATTTAAAAAAAGATATTGGAGTTAGCCTAGTTCACATCAACAGTGTTACCCAGTAGAAAAAAAAGAGTTGGGGGCAAGGGGAGGAGATTGTTTCTCCATCTGTTTTAACAGAAGCAATAGAGTCCAGAACCAGGGAGGTGACAGTGCCACTCCACCCTGGTCAGGGTATGTTAGGGTCACATGTTCTGCTCAGGGTCCAACCTTTTAGAATGAATTTAGACAATCTACAGCATGTCCAGGGGAAGGTGACCAGGTTAGTGAGGGGACTGGATATCACGTTATTCAAGGACTGATAGATGGACCCTGGAATACAGAAGTCTCAGGGGGACCATCATAGCTGTCTTCAAGAATCTTAAAGACCAGTAAGGGAAGATCCCTCTTCTGTTTGGCTCCAGAGAACAGAAGGAGAAGTAGTAATAATAATGATGGATGCTTAGCTAGTCTTTTAAAGTTTGCAAAGCCTTTGACAGACATTATAAATTTGAGCCTCACCCTATAAGATAGGTACTGGAATAATATTATCTCTTGTTTAGGGAAGGTTAAGTAACTTGCCTAGAATTACAGTGTCAGAAATATGTCTTCAACCCATCTTCCTCACTCTAAGCTCTCCCTGCCTCAGCAAAAGACAAAAATTTAAGAAACACGTATTTCAATATTTTTTTTTAAAGACACAGGTAGAATGGAAACAACAATAGTTTTGGAGTTAGAGGACCCAGGTTCACCTCTCACCTTGGCCACTTACTACACATGTGACCTTCAGCAAGCTTCTTAGTGCCTCAGTTTCCTCATTTATAAAATGAGGGGGTTAACATAGTGACTTTAAGGTCACTTTTAGCTTTAAATCTATGATCAAATGAATTTTTAATAATTTTAAACAAAACTATTTAACAATTAAAGCAATAAGGGGCTTCCTCAGGAGATAGTGGGTTCTCTCTCCCTGGATGGTCTTCAAGGGGAAGATGGTTGATCTCTTCTAAGGGATGTTGTAGATTAGATTTTGGCTTAGGTACAGGTTGAACTAATTACCTCTATGGTTCTGTTCCAACATTGAGATTTTGTGATTTAGTGAAAAATGATCAAATTAAATGTTGGTGTTATTGCAGGAGAAAAAGGGGAAGCTTATCTCTGTTTATGGATTGAATTGAATACAAACTTTCAATAAATATACAATATAAATTGGATATAAATTGAAACAACCTAGTAACATGTAATGAATTATATAATGAATTAATGATCATACTCTTACTCAGGCATCCTACTCTTAGAATTGAAGCTTGAAGATGTCATTAAAAGGTCAAAAAACACAAAAATATTCAGCACCAAATATATTTTTTAAAAAATGCTTATTTTTCCAATTAAATACAAAAACAATTTTTAATGCTTGGGTTTTTTTTAAATTTTGAGTTCCAAATTCCTCCCTCTCTTCCCCTCTCATTGAGAAGGCAAGCAATTTGATATAGGTTATACATTGTTGCTCCAAATATTTTTAACAGCTTTATTGGTAAGAGGGAAAAACTAGAAGTGACCTTAAATATCCAATAGTTAGAGAACGGTGGAATAAATTGTGCTGTATCAACGTCATAGAATTCTCTCAACTGGAAAAGTATCATTTGTGAAGAATACAGAGAAATATTGAAAGTGTTATACCTAGTTATGTAGTGTGAAAAAAACAGAAACAGGATAGTACATGTTTATGGAAATACATAGTAGCAACTGAAATCTAACAAGTACTCAGAGAGAAGGGGAGGAAAAGGCCAATAGATATCATAATCATCTCATTAAATTTATTTTTTTCTTTTTATCAAAAAGTAAACAGTTTTGAGTTTATTCATCTACCCTTCGTTGCTCTGTTGTGGTTGAGTTGTTTGTTTCTAACATAAAGCACCTACCAGCAAGAAAAGAGAATGAGAAGTCAGAATCCTTGACTGAGTCAGATGCCACTGGTGATCTAAAGAAAGGATTTGAGAATGGGAAACAAGAAGGAATGGTGCATGGCAGACACAGCAGGAGGCAGCATGATGAAATGTATAGGGCATTGGGTTTAGAGTCAGGTAAGATCTGGATTCAAATCTTGCCTGAATACTGTTTGATCTTGGGCAAATGCCTCAGTGCCTCATTCTCCTCATCTGTAAAATGGGGGGGGTGTTAGATTTAATGGTCTCTCAGGTACATTCCAGCTCTAAATCTCTGATCTATATATTTCTATATTATTTCCAGGGTTATAAAGTGCTCTATATACATGATCTCATTGGAACTTCACAATATCCCACACTCCAAATCTAGCACCCTTTCCATCACATCTTTTTTTATCACCCTCAGCACCTAGTATACAACCTTGAACATAGTAAGTTTCCATAAACATTTGTAAAGTGAATGAATTCCTTAACTATACATAGCTTGTAACACAGAACCTCCTCACCTTCTGGGAAAGCTTGCCATTCTGTCTTGGGATCAGAAGATATGTGTTCAAATCCTCACTGGCAGTATGATTCTGTACAAGTCACTACTCTCTGAGCCTAAATTTCTTTATCTATAAAATAGGCATGGTGATATTTGCATTACCTCTCTCAGAGAGTTATTGCAAGGAGTGTTTTGTAAATCTCAGTGTGCAATATAAATTTAAGCTATTATTATTATAAACCTATCAATTGACCAACAAGCATTTATTAAGCATCTGCTGTGTGCCTGATACTCTGCTAAACACTAGGGATACAGAGACAAAAAATGAGTTCCTGACCTCAAGGAACTGACATTCTGGTAAGGAAAAACAACATATATATGCAAGGGTGGAGTTCATGCCTGCCCCAATTAATCACAGAAGGCACAGACAGATTGAATCAGTTAAAAATAAGTGAATGAATATGTTCTTAATCAATCTGAAAGGATCATAGGGGCTTTGTATAACTGGATCATGACAGAGGATGCCTCATAAGGAAATATCTTGTAATTTTTTTGAATATGATCAAGTCACGCTTCTTGGGCTGTGTATAAAAACTGCAAGGTGGTTTGGATCCAGTGAAATGGGAGGATTCAGAGTTGGAGCTGAGGATTCTAACAACCCTGAGGGAGAATCATTTGGTGAGGGGAGGAGAGAATGTCTTCTCTCTCTCTTCCCTCCTTCCCATTAACCACATCACCAGAAAGAAAGGACCAATAAAAGACAAGATATCCAGCTGAGAGCAGAGAGATATAACGAGGGGAAACAGATGGTCACCTAAGAAAGGAAAAGTTATAGCCAAGAGTAAAGAAAGAGATGCTCACCAAGGACAAACAGGGACAGAAATGGATACAGAAATACAGTCAGCTAAATGAGGAAGCAGCTTAAAGAAGACAAAGAAGGCTCACCTATAGACCCTGCAAAGGTGTCAACCCTTAGAATCCAGCGCAGAGAATCACCTCAAGGGAACCTCATGAGGATCCTTAAAAAAGAAGAAAATAACTTGTTGTAACTAGGAGCTGTGAGGTATACCTCTGCCACATGGGCCTCACTACCATTTTACTCTAAGGTTGAACCCACTCTCCCCAGAGACATTGTACCTGCACGGGGAGAGTATGCCCTCAGTTGGGGAGAGGGGATTCTTTAACAACCGTCCTGTCTCTACTTATTAATTCCTCTTTCTAAAATTTAATTATTATAGCTAACAATTGATGAGAAGAACATTAATGTGGACTTTTAAGTTACAATACTAAAAACACCATTCTCCTCAGGGTTTCCCTGAGGACTTGTGGTCCCCTGAGAAGTAATTTGCCCTCTGGGGACTAAGTCCTCAGGTCCTTTGTATATCTATTTTTCTGTCCATCTATTTATACAGAATATTCCAAAAGTCATAATGTAGTTTTAAGTACATATATAAATATATATACATATATATATATCGATATGTGTGTATGTATGTATATATAATCTCCCCTCAGGAATAACTGTTCTAACTCTCACTCAAATTGGTGGACTTGGTCCCCTGAGAAGTAATCATCCTCTGGGGACCAAGTCCATCAATCTGGGCATTAGGAAGGTAGTTCCAGAGGGGTGGTGTATGTGGGTGTATGTATAGGACAGTAGTTCTAGAGAGGAGATTATACAGACACATATTTACATATGATCACTTTTGGAATACCTCTACATATATTATATGTGTATGTGTACATATACACATGTATACTCATACATGA